TTCCTGTTATTTGGTACAGTTCTTTGTGTGTGATTCTGTAGCGCCAGTTCAAAATGTTCAAAAGAAGGTCTTTCTTTGCCAAGACCCTCAGGATATACTTGCTCAAAGCGTTATTTTTTAATATTGATTTCAGGTAGACGTTGTATACACAAATATAAGCATTTTGAAACATCAAAGCCACCATATACTGAATGTACACCACTCAATTATTTTGCAAAGCAGTGACAAGAGACATAATAAAACATTAGGCAAATTGAATTTGATTCAAAAAATCATTACTGCACATGTGATTCCTAATGATAATGATAATATTACCTGTTTCCCTATGAGGAAACATATGACATTCATTGACAAAACAGCTAGTACTGCTTTCAATTGAAATTTATTGAAAATCTTTCTCTACAAGGAAACATTTGCCATTCATTGACAGAACAGCGAGTACTGCTTTCAATTGAAATCTCTTGAAAATCTTTCTCTACAAGGAAATATTTGCCATTCATTGACAGAACAGCTAGTACTGCTTTCAATTGAAATCTATTGAAAATGTTTCTCTACGAGGAAATATTTGCCATTCATTGACAGAACAACGAGTACTGCCTTCAATTGAAATCTATTGAAAATGTTTCTCTACAAGGAAACATTTGGTATTTATTGACTGAAGAGCCAGTACTGCTTTCAATAGAAATTTATTGAAAATCTTTCTCTTAAAACAATTTTTCAGGAAAATAAATTTCTGAAGCCCAGTAGCTGTTATTGCTCTTTCTATTATTGATAGGAGTTTCCTTTCTAACCTTTTGTTTGAAGTAGTATGGAATCTCCACATCTTGATTATTTCATTATTTGAAGAGAAAATAATGAAATGAGGGAGTTACCTGGGATATCCATTTTAGTTGCTGTTGTTGAAAGTCTTCAAGAGATGTTGTTTCTGTTATTTGGTAAATTCCTTTGTTTATGATTCTGTAGCGTCATTCCACAATGTTTGAAAAAGTCTGTCTTCATCAAGATTAACAGACTTCACTTACTCAAAGCCATTTTTAACCATTCGTCTTAGAAAATGGTTGTATATACCTGACAATTTAGATATTTCTGAATAGTTTTGTCTCACTATAGATACTAAAAAATAAGTTTCTCAAGTCCAGTAGCTGTTATTGCTCTTTCCATTATTTATAGGAGTTTCCTTCTTAAGCTTTTGTTTGAAGTGGTGTGGAATATCCACATCTTGATTATTTAATAATTTGAAGAGAAAATAATGAAATGAGGGAGTTACCTGGGATATCCATTTTAGTTTTTGCTGCTTTTGATAGTCTTCAAGTGATGTGCTTGCTGTTACAGTTTTTTGGATACATGTATGTACTAGTGAGCCAACCAAAATGAGCTGACTCATTTTGTAGTGCACCAATAGAAGGGTTAACCAATCAGAAAGCTCAAAATATTCAATCCGACGTGTATAAAGGCAGCCATTTTGTTTTTTCTCCCAAAATATCTTCACTGCCAACCTCTGATATCGAAGACTTAAAGAATTAACAGCTGCTACTTCCTCCGAATCTTCACTGCCAACCTCTGATATTGAAGGTTTGTGATTCTGCAGCGTCAGTCCCTAAGTTCCGAAGAAAGGCGGTCATCACCAAAACACAGAGGCTCCTTCGCTTAAACTAATAAAAATATACAAGTTTAATGTATTGTTAATCCGCGTACAAGATTAATAAGGATATGAAACTCCCTAGGGATTATTTTCATTGTATTTATATAAACTGTCACGTCACCATAGAGGGAACCTTACTGCACATGTGTAATATGTGTCACACCCAAGTCCGTGACAGAATAGATTCTGTGTTCTTCAGAGAATCCATGGTTACAGTCGCTGTGGCAGATGGCTTTCTACCCACGTGATCGTTTTTCTTGTACCTGGGAGACAACGCCTGAGAAAGAGACCGTATAATGAGGACAGATATCGTCTCCGGGGTAAGAGTAGCAGCATCCCTCAGACACCCCACAGACAGCATTGTAAGTTTCACGTGTCGGGTGTAGGGCCCTGAGACACGCACAGTGAGTGGCTGAGAGTACATGACGAAGTTAGTAGTTGAATAAAATATCATGTTAAACATGACCAATAAATTTTCGTGTTATCATTTTCTCGGTCCGATAGCACATGTATTAACAGACACTCTCCAGTGCAGTTACTCAATCGGCTGTTAATACATTTTTCACGGGTCTTGTAGGCTGCATTTTTCTTTTTTTTTCTTTTTTTTATAAAACATTACACATTCAATGCCAGCCAACCCCAATATATTCAAGATTTAGTTTCCTGTAGATTCGGGTCATAGCTTTTGAAAGAGAAAGACAATTTAGAACATAGATGAAATTAAGGAAAACGCGATGTGGCAGATGATAACGAAAAGGGGAACTTTGCGGGGGTTTTTTTTCTTGTTGATATAAATGTGTGAGGTAAAAAAATCTTTGAAGGGAATTAAAACTCGAAGTCGGTTTATTTTTTTTGTTA